AACTTTATATCTGGGACTCTCCACCATTTGACCTTAGAACTGAAGAAGCTTCTCGGATTAGAGGTGAAACGTCTTCAAGCAACTTAAAGAAGTCCAGACGCTTTTCTTTGCAAGCTCCTTTGAGGCAATAAACACGTTTGTTTATCTCAGGTGAAAATAATCCACAGACTCTTCCATTAAGTCTCAAACATGATTCAATTCCTTAAAATAACTGTCTGTTACTCGAATCTCCGTCTTTGACCAGAAAACTGTCAAATTATATTTCCCACAAATGAGCCAGGAGGAGCTGGTGTGAGCTCGTCGTGGAGCTGGTCAGGAAACATAAAGAGTCAAACTTGATTAAAGATAATGAATATTCAGCCTTTATAAAAGGCTGCAGCATGTATAAAGTTTCAACCTGTCAGTGGTCCTGCTCTGCTTGAAACCCCTTCAGCCGTCGCATTGTCAAAAAAATCCATTCAGTTTTTGATCAGGCAGCTAAATGGCTTCCCGTCGCCTCCGGCCCTCGCTCGCTCTCCGCATTACGCCGGGATAAGTTCAACATGTCACTGAAACGAGGAGACTGTCAAACGGCTCTTGCAGGGAACTAAAGAAGAAAAAGCTGCTCTCGCTGCTCAGCCTCAATGGAAAAGAGAAGCACGTTGAGTCCTGTCAGGGTTGAGCAGCAGGCTCCGCTCAGGCCCAGAAACTCGGCATTTACCTGTTTGTGCTTTTGCCTTTTTTTCTTTTGCATCACTTTGCTCTCTGCACGCAAAACAACAACAACATTTTTTAAACAGGAAACATTCAGAGCTGCTTTAACTCACAGATTCAACACAGTACTGGAAACATTCCTTTTGGTCCATGGTTACATGACATCATCGCGACATCAGCTGCAGATTTGTCAGCTGCATCCATGAGGACAGTCCCGTTCCTCCACCTCCCAGAGCTGTTGGACCCGTGACTGTGGAGGCCGTCTGAGGGCAGTGGACTCGTCTCCATAAAGCAGAGATGAGCTCCTGCTGGAGACACTGTGGTCGACGGACCTGGTCAGCAGCAACCGCTGACACGGGCAGGATGGACCCGTGCCACCAATGTCCACCAGCCGACGCTCATCGGACCAGGAAGTGTTTCTCCACCTTCCGGTGTCCGGGTTTGTGAGTCTGTGTGAATCGTAGGCTCAGCTTCCTGTTCTCACAGACAGGAGTGACCTCTGACCTCTGACCGTGCTGCTGCTCCCTGGAACTTTTCTTTGTAGACTCAGAGGTGGTTGGTGGGAAAATCCCAGTTGTGCTGTGTTCAGAGTCCCTGATTCAGAGACTGATGCTGCCTTGTGATTGGCTGATTATTGTTTGAGCAGGTGTACCTAATGAAGTGGCTGGATAGTAAATGATGTAAAAGATGAAGCAGAAAGTAACACCCCCACTCAGCCCATGTGCATGAGTCTGACAGAGCTGCATGATGTGACGCCTCCAGCTGCTCCAGATGTTTGCTGTAACACTTTTCCAGTCGTTATCATCATAATGATTCTGTGACGTCAGCTCGCTCTGTCCGCCGTTTGATGCATATTTAAGCTCAGCGTCGCCTCGTCACAAGCTTTTCTCTTATTACTGCCTGACTCTTCTTCTTCACACCTGCAGCGAGGCGCCCCCGGCTGGTACCCAATGAAAGCTGCCGCTTTGCCCAACCATCGTGGCCTCAGTCCAGTAAGACCTCGCTGAGCCGCCACGCTGTGGCTGATTGGCTCACTTACTCCGCACCGTGTGTGTCACAATCATCACATCAGAGGGAAAATGGGCTTCGGCGGCTCTGTGTCTGAAACCAGAGCTTAATTTGCTCGCAGGATGGCGAGGACGGTCGTTTAGAATAGCAGGTAATCAGTCCGCTAATGAATTCGCCATAAAAACCTGCTGTTAGCAAAATGACTCATGATTTAATCCTGCAGCCTCGAACACAAAGGAAGGGAGACTGGATTAAAAAATACATCTCATTTTCAAACCTCTAAAACATGAAGAGCTGAACGCTAAACTGTGGGGAAAGCAGAGGCAAACATCACGTATTTAACACGATTCAGTGTGGCGGCATTTAGAGCAACAACTTTCATCAGGATGTGGGAAGCACAGAAATCATTCAGGAGCTGATGATACAAACAAGCGCCCATCCTAACAAACCCAGTGTCACCATGCTCTCCTGTGGACAGCTCGGTCTGGTACCATTTCTCACTAAAGCAGACTCACACATTTACAGCCCGTTCTGGTCTCCCCCTTCGTACCCCCTGTAGGGGGGAGACTCACTTTAGTTATGTATTACTAACAGAGCGAGTGACAGCGTAGTGTGACATGGAGCTGCTTCAACACCAGGAGAAGAAACAAACCTCCTTTGGGGTTAAGAATGGATGTGCAGCTGAATTAGCTGCTTACAGTAAGTAATGTGCTGAAAGCAGCTGTTCAAAAAACAGGACATAATGAGCATTGGAGCGTTTTAAACCCCACACAGGATTTCTGTGGATACAATTCAATTCAATCTAGTTATACAGCGCAAAGTCACAACCACAGTCACCTCACGGTGCTTTATATTGTAAGGTCGACCCTACAATAATACAGACAGACAACAATCACATGACCCCCTATGAGCAGCACTTTGGCGACAGCGGGAAGGAAAAACTCCCTTTTAACAGGAAGAAACCTCCGGCAGCACCAGGCTCAGGGAGGGGCGGGGCCATCTGCTGTGACTGGTATCCAGTATCCACCCAGCAGACTAACAGAAACCAGAGAGGTCGTCACGGAGCGTGTTTTTAAAGGTCATGGAGCTCCACAGGGCTCTGTTACTGATCCTCTACTTTTTATTTACCTTTCACTTATATTCTTGTTTGTAAAACGACAAAATGTTTCCTCCTTCAAAACAAATGCAGAGGGGAGGATGTTTTTATAACTCACCTGTTTAAATTATATTCAGGCTCAAAGTTTGC